CTCGGCTCCGTATGGAAAAGCCCTGCGGCAACCGCGGAGCCGCGCGCCGTGCCGGAGGGAGCGGGGGTTCTCGCTTTGTGGGGGAGGACGATTCCTGCCGTTGGGTGATGAAGGCCCAGAGCGTGGGACACTTCAGAGCCTCTTACGACAAAGCGTAAAATGCGATTTGTGACAGCGTAAAATACTGAGAATTCATACAAAGCACAGATGAAAAGCCTACAAGAATTTCAAATTTTAATTCAAACTTTCAAGTTTCTCATGGAAGGAAATCTCATCTCTCCCACTTTGACGCAAAACAAATTAAGGAGATAACCTGATAAAATGTTAACACTATCAGTGACTCTAGAAAAATAAGATGATCATGTCTTAAAGTTACCATGTCTTGAAATTATCATGTCTTAAAGGGTGCTTCTCTACAGCAAGCAAATTGTTAACAGTTTACAGAAAGGAAAGAAATAATTATCCCGTTAGAGCAGCCTATACACTGTTTTAGCACAATCCTTGTTTTGTAGCATTTCAATTTATAAGACTGAGCACACACACACGAGTTACACAATACAGAATGTCAAGAGCCAAACACAGAGCCGGAATCCGCAGGTAGCAGTTAATCATCATCAGCACGCAACTCAAAGCTGGTAAGGAAGTTTAAAATGAAACTCATGTAGTTTTGAAACTCTGATACACACTGACCCAACACTAAAAAAAGGCTACATTTTGATTAGGAGAAAAAAATTCAAACTTTTATTGATGCATTACTAGTCCCAGTGCCCCCCTCCTCCATTTATCAAAAGAACTGAAGTAGTCCCTGAGAATTTCCCAGGATTTGCCACCTACAGATAAGATAGTTGAGGACTCAAAAGGTATCTCGAAAAAGATTAATCTTTTAACTTGCTGAAATGGATTATAGGAAGCTGACAACTTCACTGCCTACAAGCATTCAAATTCCACCAGCTGCCTACATAACAGAATTTGAAAGATGTTGGTGAAAATTCATTCCCTTACAGTCCAAAGCTCAAAATATGTACAACTAAGTTAATGAGTACTACTAGTATGAAGCCCTGCTCCTGCCTGAAATCAAACGGAAAATAAGTATTTTAACTACAAGTTGAGCTTTGCTATCTATTCCAATTTAAAGGCCAAGGAAATGAAAAGGCCTTTTCAATAGAAAGACGACATTAAACCAGAAGCCTTGCTTTCGCTGCAGCAATCTCTAGGATTCAAAAGCCAGTGCGCTAAGCCACTGCCAAACATAAATATACCTAACTGACTTCAAGCTAACCCTTGCTTGCATCATTTCTGAATGGCACTCGAGCAACAAAGTTTCCTAGGCAACCCCAAAAGAAGTCATCCATTTTGCACAATCCTACAGTGAACAGCTTCGACATTTACTATCTGTTCTGACTTGGCCGATACTGATTGTGTAGTTCACAGGTATCAAAAAAACCAAGCTACAGTTGAGAAGAAGACAGGCACAATTCAATTTTTGATTAACAGATTTTTTCATCCACTTGTTTTCAATTCTTATTTTAAACATTCACACAATAATACATTTTCTATTTCAAATGGTAAAGATGACATCACACTTGTGCAAACACTAAACAAAGCATATTGAGGCACAAAGAAGCCAGAAGGGATTCAAGTAACAGTCAGAAAGTAATTTGGAAGATGCATTTTTTCTAAATCAGAGAGGTCTCTTACATTATATTAAAAATAAACCAATTTTCCCATCCACACAAAGTAAACAGCTGAATTGCCTATATATACATACCAAGTAATGAGATACCAGTTTCATTTTTTTGGGTAATTTTTCATAAAAGATGACAATTTTCTATAAAATCTAGTCCTTGAATGCATGAAATCTATGTACCTACCAGATAAGTAACTATTATTTAAGAGAAATTCATTTTTTTAAAAAATAAAAATATAGTTTCTCTATACTACCCAATGGCAGCTAAAATATAATGATAATTTTACAGTGAACTGGTCATACAAAGAAAAATATTTTAAACTGTTTCTCTATAGATAATTTCAATTCAAAACACCAAACCCAAAATATTTCATATTTTAAATGAACCGGTCAGTAGGTTAAGAAAGAAAAATAGTGTTAGAACACTGCAGACACTCCTGCTGAGATCACACTGAATAATTACAACTTTTGGTCTTTGTTACAAATGCTGTAAAAGTGTTTCTATGAAAAAAGCAATGTCCCCCCATCCCCAAGAAATTAAAACAGTAAGCCATTAAAAAAAAAAAAGAAACGTGTTTTAAGAGGCATTTCTTTTAGCTTGCATGATATAGCCTTTGGACTTGATAATTCCTCTGCTTTTAACAATGACTGAATACCGGAGAAGCCATAAAGGAATCCACTCGTGTGCTTTCGTGTTCTGGATGCTTTCTTGAAGAACTTCTTGGAAACTTGCTTCACAAAGTAATTCTGAAGTTAAAAAGGGATATTCATACTTTAAATAATGTCATGTAAACAGCTGCAAAAAGCAACACTTAGTAAGAGAAGCCTTTTTCTACAGTCAAAAATCTTAAGTAGTGCTAGGTATGCCACAGATCTACTCTTCCGGAATGCACGTAGGGTAAAAGCAGCTGAATATCGCAGAAGAAATCTCCAGGACACTTTTTTTGCAACACTGAGTATCTCCCACAAAACTAATTAACTGAGATTTCTACAGTATCAAATGGAACTGATCAGCAGAGCCATTAGCAGGAAAAAATGAAAATTAAATTTGAGAAGCTAGCTAGACAAGCCAGAGGTGTCTAAAGCATAAGGCTGAAATCAGCAAAGTACTGAGCATTCTCAGTTACCTCTGCAGTCACTGGAAGCTCAACATTTATAGCATCTCCCATAACTGGGCTTGTAGTAACCACAAGCCCAGAAAGCATTAAGACGCATTAAGAAAAATGGGCTTAAATGCCACAAAGCAGAAAAGGAAGGCAAGTACAAATCCTCCTCGTTTCCTCTGGGAAGTCTGTCAAGGGAACAATCTCTTTGATGAGGAGTGTTCCCGAAAGACAGTCTCAATACTCTTCAGCTGACCATTACAGAAAAGTTAAGCTCAGCAAACAATGCATAAGGGAATCGCTACTTGCTTTGTTTTCCTATCCAAATCCTCTTCTCCTTCATTTCATTAGTCTCGATAGAGAGTATTTATCAAATTGCAAGTTGCACCTTGGACTTCACAGGACATGGAAATTGTCAGATTGAATGGCAATTCATCTTGTAAGCTGCCAGAGCAGCGCTGACACATGCTCAAGCTCTGATGAAACTCATTAGTTTTAACAGTGCTACTATAAAGCACGTACTTCATAAATAGCGTTTCATACACTTTATTTCTTTGGGGTGGGAAGAAAGGAGAAGGAAGGAAAAGTATGCATCATGAACAGTTGGTCATAAGGAAGAATGTAGGGAAGGCACGAACTAAATATTGTTTAAAGACTTCTCGCTTACAATTCCAGCAAGATATTTAAGGCATAATTATAGCGAAGAAGATTAGATGATGTTCAAGAGAAACTAATATAATATCCCCGAATATTCTAGGGAGCTGGTAACTCTAAAGTCTGAAGTTCTAGAGTCTAAAGGAAAGCCTCCAAGCCCTTCAATCAATTAGTAAATGAATCACTGCACAAAACAACAATTTACACCAACTCTTTTTGTAATAATGTTATTTTAAGAAATCGCTACTTTGAAAGAATCCTGCTTAAAGCATAGTAATTTTACACATCTAACATTACCAAACTACTCAAAAATCAACTGACCACCAACATTTCTATGCAAGCCATTTCACAGACAAGTTCTGGGCAAGTGGACTTTCATTTGTCATTTACTGACCTCCAGCGATACAACTGTCATTTCATTCTATGTTTTGTGGAAATAAGCTATTTTTTGAACATATGTAGTACAAATTTCTCAGTAGTTTGTTCTTCTGTTTACTTAATTTTCTCTGATTGAAATGATTTCAAGAAACTATCCAAGGCTGGAAGATTGCCTCCCCCCCCCCCCCCGCCCCCTTTCTTGAAGCAAAAGCAAGAATTTAATAGACATATTTTATAGAGGAGAAACTTTTAGAATTCTTTGTTTGGGATTCAAATGTAACAAACTTTGAAGTTCAGAGAAAGATTATTCCCAATTGTGTACTGAATAAATGCATTTAGAAGTCTTCTGTTGACTTCTCTGGCAAAGCCTTACCTTTTGGGTCATTGTGAGTTAACAGCTGTATGTCAAACTGTTTTGCAAATGCTGTGAGATCAGGTGGCATCACACAACAGGAAGCTAGGTTCACCTGATTACTACTTGGTTTTACCTGAAAGTAACAAAATACTTTTGTAAGAAAAAAAAAATAATGTACTTCTAGTTGTTTCCCCCGTGCCCTCTATTACAACAGAAATTTTGCTTTGACCAATTTGCCTTTGACCATTGTTTTGAAGTCTGAACAAGGCTAATTAATTCTGCATGATGCTAAACAGGCAACTCCTACATCTGCAATTTCCTACAGCACAGAGCCCAAAACAAGAATAGGATCTAACTCCAGGTGCTGCCACAGCAAGATGAGTACTAACCCATTCTGGCTTCCTGCCTGATGTGCTCCCTAAGCAGCAGCAGGTTCCCCCCCCCCCCCCAGTATAAACTTTATAGGGGCCTTAGTTTGAAAAAGACTTCAAATACAAAAATCCAAATAAATTTTTGTTAAGGATATATAATTTGCAGTCTTCCATATCTTCAGGTAAGTGCCTAAATCAGATTAAGTTAAAAGAGACTCTCTTCCACTGACTCTTTCTCTGCTCATCACAAACTGCATTCATGATCACCATGCAGGTGGTCATTAATCCCCTCAATTATCCTCCCCTCAGTATTCACAAAACAGCGAGGAGCACAAATCAGGACCTCTTATACAGATACGGTATGTTCACATACCACAAAAGAAATGTCGTAAGAGGAGTATTCAAAGAACTAGTAAGGAACAGTGAATCCACAAGCTTACATGAGCATGGGCACATACTAGTACAGACCTCCATCACTCAAATGTTAAGAGGCAATTAGTCACATTGGACAACAAAATATTGTGCCACTTCATTCATAGCCTGTCTTCCTCTTTACATTTAAGCTTAGCATTCAAACAGCATTTTTCCAAGGGGAAATCCCTCCGCACAGCTTAAAGTGAAGAGAGCTATGTTTTCAGAGTCACTGGAATAAATCTGAAGGTTTAAGAGTACTGTTAATACTCCTTCCTAAATATAAAAGCATTCAAAACTCAAACCTTCAGTACTTCAAAGAACCTGCTACTGAACAGACCTGTGGTTTCCAGCCTTTGCTGGTCTGTAGGTAAGAACACAGAACAAGTGAGTCACACTTTGAGCCTCCCCCACCTTGAGCAACATTGTGACCGTCCATAAGATGCTGAAAATAACAGGGCTAATTAATATTTTGTATATAAACCCATTTATAACAGAAGTTTATAACTGTGGCAGCCAACAAAACAAGTTACTTCTGTAGGAAGCTTGTTCTCACCTGTGCCCACAGATACAGCTGCTCTAATAGTGTTTTATCTAGGTCAGAGGTACCTATGGCAACAATCTTTTTGTTTTGAACTAGGTTTTCAAGTTCTTGCCAATAAGGTTGCAAATACTCCAAGGACAGGCTAGTTCCATCTTCAACGGGAGGTGGGGCAATAATGACTGAGTCTAACTGAGCAACTCCGAGGGCAGAACACGCTGAGGAAAAAGAACAGAGACACTGCAAAAATCTTTTGTAAGATACAAACATAAGCAGCATGACTCTTCAAATTCAGCAAAAACCACACCTCCTGCTTCACTCTGCTAGCTTCCCATTCACCGTTTGAAACTCTGAGTGTATCAGCAGTCAAGGATAGTAACACAATGTTTTTAGCAAAGAATCAAACATGCAGCTGAAGGCCAAGTTTCAATTGTAGGTCTTGGGGGGGACAATGACCCACAAAAACCCCACCACCAAACAAAGCGTGAAGCTTTTTTCTCCTTTTCAATGTTAAAGCTGTATTTTTCTGTGAAGACAGGGGTGACATACAATTCCTGATTCCTTCATTCTCAATTTCTTCCAAAATTTGTAACTTTCACTCTGAACTATAACTCAAGTACAGGGCATGGACTAGGAGAACTATTTGATCTATGTGAGGAGTTAGACTAAAAGCACACTGAATATGGAGATTTAAATTGCCAGAGAGAAGTGGCAAGTCTTGGAGTATCACTGAGCTTTAGGGAAGATGCAGGTCATTTATTCAAAAAGAATAAAACTAAGTAGCTAAATAAATTATTTTCTTCTGGAGGAGGATTCTATCAATGTATTTTTAACAAATGGCACTACCACTTACAATAAAGAGGCTATTAACTGGCATATCAATAGAAAAGAATGATATCTGACCCTTTGTTCTTTGGTAACCCCTTATGCCCAACAATCTTCCAAAGTGGTAAAGTTCAGTGCTGCTCGCAATTACTGCTATGTTAGGCTAACAAAACTTTGTGTATCAGTACAGCCATTGTACTGCATTTTCAATAAAACTTAACTATTTCATCAGCTGCTTGCAGCATTGTTTTGTTTCCTAAATAATCTCTGAAATACTGCACAGCTAGTAGCAAAGTTCATCATGTCAAAAACAACTGGCAACTAACAACAACTGGTAAGAACTACCGTATCACTGTTACTAAAACATCACATGCTATTCACTTTTTAACAAGTTTTGTGTGAAAGAATAAAAACTTGCTCCTGCTTGGAGCAAGGAATCGGATTTGAGTTTGTGCACCCGAGGTTACAGCGATCCACATTTAATAAGTTTACCGATTGAACTAACGTGTAAATAGACTCGATTGCCTGAGTCTCTCTTAATAGGAAAACAGGAGATCCTTGTGACAGTCACTAAATACACCTCTTAGATGGAAAAGGTTCTAATTTTATTTCTAAATACTGAGTAAAAAAGAAACCCTAGCAGAAGTTTGAGTTTCACACTTACCCAGGTCAACTGCATCTCTGATCGACGAAGAGTTTGATCCAACGATGAAAAGTTTTGCTATTTTCAAAGAAACTGGAATCAATAACTAAACAAGCCAGCTATTATTAAATATTTACTTTTGCTATGTACACTACTTATGAATTCTTGGGTAAAGGGTTCTTAGAATATACACCAATTACTTCAAAAATTGGAAAAAACCAACCTCCTGAAAGGTGACTGCCCAATAAAGACACTGTTCTCTTAAATTTCAAAGTTGTTGTGCAGTCTCAGAACAAGAAATCATCCAGCTAGATGATCTAACAAGCTGTAAAGCTAGGACGTAAGCATCAAGACACTAAGCAATAACCGTAACAACCTGTATAAAAACCCCAAATGTAATAGTACAAACAGACCTCTTCACAACTTACTGAGACCCAAAATGTACTAGTGTTAGTTTGGACTGCCTCCTTCAAGTTCATCATATTCAACCTGGAAAAATTATGCAAATAAATGTGCTTCCAATGCTATTTCTTAATTGCAGTATTATCTGTAATATTTTGCTTCAGAAAAGTCAAAGATTCACAAAATACATTTAAAATGTCTTGAGGGGATGCAAGTTAAACTCAAAAAATGCCGAGCTGCTTTAAAACCTGAAACACGAATTCAAGTCTTTCTTAGCCCACTTCTAGATTACCCAAAGTACGACAGTGTGCACTGATGTAATTTGACTTTGCAATTACAAAACACGGTGGAAAGAATATACATATACGAACATCCTATTAACGACTGCATATGAAACCTTTTTATGCCACCGGATTTTTGACTATGTTCTTACCTGATACTTTCAACTCATCCCTTTCTTCAGGATTTATTTTTTCTATAGCTTGAGCTACAGTACATTCCAGAACCTCCAGTATTTCCTGTAGTAAGAACATGAGACTTAGGAACAACTCGGCAAGAGGAGACAGTAAGTTCCTGAGGAATGTTTTTAAGTAATTAAAAAAAAAAAAGCCTCACAGCAGTTAGAAACAAAAATAGTATAGAAATGCAATGACAGAAAGAAAGTAACCCAATGCTTCTTGATCTCTGAGGGGAGGTCAGGAAAATGAAGCTATATGAAAGGCCTTATATGCCCCTAATATAAACAATACAAGTTACTGGTAAGAATTATTGGAATAAGATTTAGTGGTGTTCTGATTTTCTGATGTGAACAGATCGCTGTGCCAATTCAACCTGCCTTGCTGTAAAAAAAGCCTCATGACCAGCTGAAAAAAATCATTATCAGAATTAGGGGGTTTGGGTGTCGGGTGGGAACATCTTTGCATGAAAGTATTTTGTAATTTCAGTGAAGCCTATGAAAAGCCTACAGTGAAAATGCTGTAAAATACGAATTTAAACGAATAATTTTGAAACTAAAAATTAGGAAAGTGTGAGAGATTTCACGCTCTCACCTCATTTAAGACTAGGCTGACATCTCATGTCAGCTGGCACAAGGTGATTTTTTTTTAAGTCTTTACCTATATGAGATTTTGTATTATACACACACACACCTCCCTACCCCCAACCAAGAACTCTCTGGTAATTTTTGCTGCCCTACCAAAAAACCCTCAAGTGAGTCTTTGAGTTATTCCATACAGTCAGCATTTTAAACAAAAGTTAACTTTTTTTTTTTAATTACTGGAAACCAATATAATTCATAAAAGAATTTGGAATTATGCAGTTAACAGTTTGATAGTAAAACCTAGCTTACACTAAATAATTAACTTCAAATGGATCGCTACATCTTACAGAGACAAATGCTTATTTACGTTCTCTTCTAGAGCAATCATTAGATCCTCCACAAATCATTCAGCAATAACTGCCTCCCCACACTCCAGCGTGGAACGCAGCAATGTGCAGCTGATGCCACCATTACACAAGAACTGGTAACACAACCCAAAGAAACGGTCAGGGAAGTTTTTCAGTGGGCTTTTTGGGGTTTTTTTTTGGGTTTTTTTTCCTAATGAAACATGCTAATGTTTCACAGAGAAAATAATTTATTTTGTGGGAACCTATTACTGCTTTGCTGAATTTCAGAAGCAATAGTGAAAGGAGGAGCCAGCAAATACACCAAGATCTTGATGTCAGATGCCCGTGACTATGGTTTTAAGAATTACGTGGAAGTCTTTAGCTCTTAAGGGAAAAATTGCCACTTCTGCATTTTCAGAAATACTTCTGAGACAACCAAGGCTACGCTTCAGAGTTCCCCTCCAAATGGAATGATCTTCAGCTATCTAGTTTATCATAGTTTAGATAATTCTCCATTGAGTTTTTACAAGCATGCTAGCAAACTGCTAAGGTACACAATTTTTTTTTTTGGTGATTGCTCCAACAATTCACTTGAAATCTTACAGACCAGGACTTTTATTTTGCTATGAATTGTCTTATTTGCCATCAACAGGATTCTTTACTTTGGTATTTCTTAACCTCTCCAAATTTGGTAAATATTAAAAAAAAAAAAAAAGACGGGTTGAGAAATACTCTTTTAAGATACCTGGAGCCACAGATACTTTTACAGAAATTTAATAGACTCATTTATATTTTAAGAGGTGTAACCAACTACATATTTCTCTGTTTTCACATGCAACACGGATAACACACGCAACACCTCTCCTACCTGATTTAGATCTTGTCCAATCTTTGAGCTCCATTCAGTCAGCGTTTTCTGAATGCAGTCCCGCACCTACAAAATATTTTTTCGTATTAGAGTGTAGAAATGTTATAGTGGCAGAGAAATACAATGATTCATAGGCATGTAGGACAGACAGAGCAGGTGAACTAATGACACCATTCCCTCAACCACAGAAGATTCCTTCTTCATAGCTTCCATCTGAAACTTGTTCTAACTAGTTTACTTACATGTTTTCCTCTCCCCTTTCACAAAGAGTTTTAGCAGTAATACAAGTACTGTACTTCATTTATTTCTCAGACCAATGCCATCTTTAAAGGAAAGAACAATGCTAAGAGAGCAAGAACTAGGGTGTGGGGTGGTTTTTTCTTTTTTTGCGTAGAGATTCTTAAGTTACAACGTAGTCAGATAATCGCATACGTGCTGTGACATCGTTAGAAATGAGACGTTACAATCAATCACTAAATACTCATTATATTAATTACTTCTCTTTCCAAGAGGCACCTGACACTTTTCATTTACTGCCTACCTATTCCAGGTGCCGAACCACTAATGCTTTTAAGTCCTCCGTTACTGAAGGGGGAACCTTCAGATCCTACCCTGCACTTGCATTTTTTCTGCATCCACAGATGCAAAATAAACTTGACCAGGATTCTGATCATCGATTTTCTTGAACATAGTAAGGCATAACTATTAAGTCTAAATCAGCTAATTAACTGCGTATTGTACCAGTACTTCAGCTGTACCAATGCTCTTGCTTCCCTCTGATGCACCTCGGGAGCTGTTACGCTGCAGGCTAAGTAAATGTACTGTCTAGATGGGTACCTGCCACAGGTAGGAGCACTTTCATAAGCTGCTGCTTTACTTCACTTTTAGCAATATATTTTATATCTACGTGGATACCCACTTTTTGTACCATTAAATAGCAATTTCCTGTGACACCTAACATTAATTCAGAGAGCCCATAATACCATGCAGAAACTAGAAGCCAACCTCCCCCCATAAAACTGGATATCACAAACTTTAAGACATAATACAGTAATAATACTTTGTGAAGACAAATTCTGTACATTCTTTCCCAGTCATTTAAAACGGCATGAAAAAAATAACTCAGTTAAAAGGCACGCCCCCCCCCCCCCCCGAATAGTTATCCACAATGCTGGAACTCTTTAGCCTATTTTGATGCAACTTATAATGTTAGCTTTTCCTTTCTGAGGGAAAGTGAGATGGTGCTAAATATGTATATTCTACATATTGCTACTTTACAACCCTCACACTTTATACTTCTACTGCAGTTAGTATGCACAAGCCTCTGTCTCCAAAGCACACCATTCCCCTGCCCAAACATGTGTGAAAAGCGCAGCATGCTTGACTGCTTTGACCAGTTTTTCCAAATACAGTTACATCCAGAAGCTGCTAACGTTAGGGTTCATAGTTTGCAAAATTTTAGCTTACGTTCTGCCACTGAGAACTACACTAACTACACCAAATAGAAGAGTTAAAAGCCGATTTAGTTCTGATAATGAATGCCAATTATTTGCTTTTGAAATGCCAGCAACTCTGGAAAGCAGGCAGCCTTACGTTTAAATGCAGATTTCCCTGTAAAAAAAATGAATTTAAATACCTTAACTGATTAGTTCCGCACACTGGCCACTCTTTATTTAACAACCCTCCAGAAACTTCTCACACAAGGGTGCCCATTAGGATACAGCCATCCCTCTGCTACAGAATCTAACCCCAGTTCGCACAGATCACAGGATGTTGTAATAAGCAACCAGGCCAAATAAAAAGGTTATTACCACATGACAACTAAATAAAAGTATGATGAAGTCCTCCTTGTTGTTACATCATCCTCCCAGTCACCTTTCTTACCATTTGTGCATGATTAATACACAATCAACCAACTTCTAGATCACCAACAGTGCCACTACGTAGCAATAGCCAGCCAAAACCATAGTTCTTCTGATTATTAAATGACCCTTTTCAGATTACCGCGTCGCGACGAGACAGCAAATACAGCGGTTCTCAAGTTCACGGCCACAGGATCTCCAGACACTTTGTCAGGATTATTCTAAGTGTTGACACATACCGCTAAAGGTAACGGTTTTAAAGTGGCGATTGAAAAGTTCTTTCAACTTTTTAACACAGAATGACAGTTATACTCTTTAAAGAAGAATATAAAGAAGACAGCAATTACTAATCTTCCTGAGACCTGTCAGCACCAAGAAATTAAATTAATTTCAGGTTAGAAAAGAGAGTTTTCATCGTTCGTAATGCAAGCTCGTGTCTGTTCATATCTTTCTCTCGCTAAAGAAGTAGCGGAGATCTCCTTTGCCATTACAGACAGTACTTAAACTTGTACGCGTTTTAACCCTTCGTTCTCCGAGAGCAGAAACACGGTCCGGTTTCTCCCGAAAGCGACTCCAACACAGCGAAGTGCTTCTGGAGGGGGCTCGGGGGGGC